TCCACCACCCCCCCCCCCAAAAGCCAGGCGTTCTGCCCCCCTCACAATGCCCACGATGCGTCCCAGCCCCCAGCAGTCTCAGCACCCTTGTGCACCCTACCTACCTCCCAGCTCCCCCTCCTGATCGCCGTGGTAACAGAAGAGGTGGAAGGCCCAGACGGAGGGATTTAATGTCGCTGGTGGGGTTGCTATGCCAGCAGCAGTTTGCAAGGTTACCTTGCTGCAAGCTCTCTCGCTGACTTCCCTCAGGCCCTGCTGAAACGGGCAGCGGCTCCGGCCTGCCCTTTCTGGTCCAGAGAACTGTGGCTCGACAGATCGCTCTGGTGGAATGTGTCGGTAAGAAAACCCAGCTCCGGGCTAGGCACTGCAGCTGACTGCACATCTGCCCATGCCGCAGGAGGGTCCCTCTGGCTCAGCTACCACCTGAGCCCTTCAGCCAGGCCTGTGCCAGGCTCCCGTCCCGACAGCAGCTGGAGATGAGGTCATGAATCTCGACCCTCACGCCAGGCAAATTTTGGTCTCTGTTACCAACCCCCTAACCCAGGCCTTTGGAGTTGCTTCATGTAGGCGTGGGGAAGGACAAGCACGTCTTGGACTTGCTGGGTTATTCTTAGCCCCTGTTTGTAGAATCATAGAACATTAGAAGGGACCTCGTGAGGCCATCAAGTCCAGTCCCCTGCCCTCACGGCAGGACCCAGTACCAACACCATCCCTGATCGATGTAGATCATCCCTGATCTCCGATGGGCTAGGCTCTGGCTATGGGGCTTTTGGCCTGACTCTTCATGGTATGCCCTGAGAGAACGGGCCTTTCCCTTACCAGACAGGCCCGGGCACTGAGGTCCCCATGTATCCTCCTGCTGGATCTCACGCTTTGCGGGACCCCTGGGGCCAGCATGACAGGTCAGCACAGTGGTCCCAGAAGTGACATAGTCATTGCTTCTGCCCTGGGACCTGCATCCTACCAGGGACAATCCTGAAGCCAGGCCTGTGCATGAAGTTCCCAGTGGCCCTATTAAGCCAATAGGGCCAATAATAGCCTGTAGGCCCTATTAAGCCAAAGACAAGTCCTGGCAATTTGCTGGGGAATAGGTTTGTTCTCAGATGGCCTTGGGCCTTAGGCTGCTGGGTGCCCCAGCTGTCAAAGGGTGCAGTGCGCTGGCTCCATCATGGGCCCAGGCTGCCCCCAAGTCCGGGATCCACAAAGAACATAAAGCCTTATCCTTGGGGTGGCTGAGGTCACTAAACCTCCAGCTGAGGCTGCAATGGCCTGTGCTCCGACCCCGACCTGCTACAGCAGGGACAGGGATTCACCCCATGAGCCCTGAGCACCAGCAGGGCAGCGTGACGCCGTGTCCGTGTCCTGGCAGGGAAAGGGCGCTACGGAGAGGTGTGGCGCGGCGTGTGGCACGGGGAGAACGTGGCCGTGAAGATCTTCTCCTCCCGGGACGAACAGTCGTGGTTCCGTGAGACGGAGATCTACAACACGGTGCTGCTCAGGCATGAGAACATCCTGGGTGAGTAGCAGCCCCCTTGGGTCTTTATCTGGTGCCCAGCCTGCTGGGACCTCCCTGTTCCATGGCCTCTTCCGCTTTATCCCCTGTAGGCTTCATTGCCTCTGACATGACGTCCCGGAACTCCAGCACCCAGCTCTGGCTCATCACTCACTACCACGAGAATGGCTCGCTCTACGACTACCTGCAGAGGACGGTGCTGGACACAGAGATCTGCCTGAGGCTGGCCTACTCCATCATCTGCGGTCTGGTCCACCTGCACGTGGAGATCTTCGGGACCCAGGGGAAACCAGCCATTGCTCACCGGGACCTGAAGAGCAGGAACATCCTGGTGAAGGCCAATAGGCAGTGCTGCATCGCAGACTTGGGTGAGAGTCTACCAGACGGAGCCAGGACTGGAGCCCATTGCTGCATGGAGCAGAGCAAGTGACCAGATCCGACCTTTGTCTTGTCTGCACCTAGCCAATGTCTGGATTCCCTTTTATCTGGGCTCCGTGTGGGGAAAGGGCAGGTGCATTGGGGGCAAGGCAGGATGAAAGCAAAAGCTGTTACTCCGGCCAATGGAGGGCATTGTCTTCTCAGAGCTTAAATATTTAGTTCCCTGGAGTCATGGGTTCAAATCCCAGTGTGGGGTAACTCCAGGGAATTCTTTTTTTTCCTCCACAGAACAAAGTGGTAGGCTATGTCTACACTGGCGTGATCTTGCACCAGAAGTATGCAAATAAGGCTAAGCGTGGAATATCGCCGAGCCTCATTTGCATATCTAATGAGCCGCCATTTTGCGGAAGAGGCTCTTGCACCAGAAAGAGAGTCTACACTGCCCCTTCTTGCTCAAGAAAAACTCTCTTCAGCAATGCCGTTATTCCTGAAAATAATCAGCATAACAGAATTGCGCAAGAAGGTTTTTCTTGTGCCAGAAGGGGCAGTGTAGACAGCTCCTTCTAACGCAAGAGCCACTTCCACAAAAATGGCAGCTCATTAGATATGCAAATGAGGCTCGGCAATATTCCACACTTATTTGCATACTTCTGGCGCTAGATCGTGCCAGTGTAGGCATAGCCATAGTGTTTTGGGAGGTATCAGACCCCATGTAACCATAAATACTGACCTCGGAGGTGTCAGACCCCATGTAACCATAAATACTGACCTCCCCCACACTCACCTTCACAGCCCCACTGATCAGCAGAAAAGAGGCATATGGGAAAAGCCAGGGATGGAACGAAAGAGCATATCGCCATGGGAGACAGAGGTACACACAGGCTGTATTGATCCAAGGTGGATTTCCCTGGGCTGTAAGCAGAAAACTCTGCCAGCTCCAAATTCCAGGGTACTTTCCCTAATGGAGAGAGAAGTGAAAACCCCGTGTCCTCCAGCTCAGCCTTCATGATGCTTCTCCCTTTCAGGGCTGGCGGTCATGCATTCCCAGGGCAGCGACTACCTGGACATTGGGAACAACCCTCGGGTGGGCACCAAACGCTACATGGCCCCCGAGGTCCTGGACGAACAAATCCGTACCGACTGCTTCGAGTCCTATAAGCAGACAGATATCTGGGCCTATGGTCTGGTGCTCTGGGAAATCATCAGGAGGACGGTTGTAAATGGTAAGGGGCAGTCTGGGAGGCTGTGGGCAGTGAGAGGTGGCACTCCTATTTCTGTAGCCCAGTGGTTTTCCAAGTGTGGTCTGTGGATCACTGGTGGTCCGTGGCCACCTTGCCGGTGGGCTGCGGCTTGAAGCTCAGCCCCCGCCCTGCAGCAGGGAGCCCATGCTGGTGCTCGGGCCCCACGCACCCGCCCCCCTCCCCCGAGGTTAGAGCGCCAGTACCAGCTTCTCTCTGCAGGGGGAGCCCCGAGCCTCACGGGCTGGATCCATTCACAGCTCCATGCACTGCCGTTCCCCCTCCCGCAACTGAGGGACCAGCCACACAGGGGAGTGCTGTCTGGAGACTTTTTCTGCTGCTTCCATTGGCCAGAATTGTGGCCAATGGGAACAGCGGGAGGCATCAGGGGCGCTAAGCCAGATGAGCGCCCCCCATCTCCCTCAGGGCCAGACCCTGCAGCCCCAGCCCTCTCCTGCACCCTCCCTCACTCCTGCACCCTCCCTCCTGCCCAGACCTCTGGCCGACAGCCACCATGAGCCCCGGGGCAAGATGGTGGAGGGTCCAGCTCCACATCCCTGCAAGAGGCTGGGCCGAGGGCAGTTGGCCCTTAGCGTATCCTGGACTACCGCAGCGGGTCCTCCCTCAGCCCTCAAAACCATGTGGAGTGGCTCTCCGGCACTCCCACAGCAGTTCAAAGGGGCTCTGGGCCCCTTTGAATGGCCAGGCCCCAGAGCAATTGCTCTTGTTCCCCCCTGTTGGGTCTGCCTGCTCCCTACTTCCTGCCCAGACCTCCCCCCTCCCCCCATTTTGTCACCATGGGTGGTTGGTGGAAAGTCTGCATTGAGCAGGGTGGGCCACGGGTCAAATGGGAACCACTGCTCTAGCCACATCCACGGGCACACAAATGTGGATATCTCGGCCCGAATCCATAGATATGTGCACATCTGTTTGTCCTTCACTAGTACCCAGAGACTGCCCTGATCTGTATATAGGCACCAAATATCTTGACATCCACAGGCCCAAAGACATCCACCCGGCCACCTGAGAGGGTCCCTTGTCTATTCTGCTAATCTTCTATACTCAGACTGTGAGCTCTTTGGGGCACAGACAGCCTTCTTGTACAGCACCCCGCATGTGTCCCGGGGCACCTCACACGATCTCACTATGAGGAATACACCCTAGCTTGCACAGAAAGCACCGGGGCTCTATTCGGATGGGGCCGAGGCTGGGGACCAGATGCAGCCCGCAGCTTGCCTGGATCTGGCCCCTGAGACTCAGGGCTCCTCCCCGGCATTGGGGAGCCTAGCGCTCCAGCACCCCCCCCCCTCCGGGCTCTAGTGTGTAAGGGGACTGTGGGGAGGGTCTTTCTCCTTCTTAGTCAGGAGCCACATCAGTGCGACGGGTTTTGTTTTTGTTTGGGGGTGGGGGTTGTTTCTCAGTTGTACACGGCCCCCGACTGTTTTTCCTGTGTGTCAGCAGCCCCCGACCACCGATCCAAAAACAGTTTCCCCACCCCTGGCTTAGGAGCATGGCACGGGCGGTGGCTGCAGCCACAGCAGAGAGGCCAGAGCGAGCTGTGTGCGCTAGTGAGGCTCCCAGGGCAGAAATAATCGCGGCTCCGGGCTGTGAAGGTTTTCGGCTGCTCTCAGTGTTTTTTGCCCAAAGATTAGCTGTAAATTATAAACACTGTAATCTAGTGTCAGCGCCCGGCTCCCTGATTAAAGGGCCCATTAGACTCAATCAGCGCTTTGTTTGTTCAGCACTGATTAGAAAACAAGCAGCATCAGAGAACGGCTTGGAGCCTGGCCATATGCTGGGGACTTCCGGCTCCTCCGGCGCACGGGCTGGTTAACCCAGCACGTTTCCCCCAGGGCCTGCCTCAGGGATGGGCTGGTGCTGGCCTTGGGCAGAGGCAGCTGTTGTGGGACGGGGATGAGGGAGGGCAATGGGACTGAAGGGACCCAAAAGCAAATGGGCCAGATGCAGATTCCTTCTCCAGTGGCAGGGCTTGAAGGGGGGGGGACTTCACCTGCCCTTCCCCCCCCCCTTTCCCCCCTCCCTTTGTAGCTAGGATGCTCCACCGACACTGCCCTCTCGCCCTCTGCCAGCTTCTGCAGACAGTGAGCCTGGCCTCAGATGTGGTGTCCTGAGTCAATGTTTCAGGGGTCCCTGGCAAGGGAACACCCCCACCCTCATCGTGGCCTGCTCCGTGGCAGCCCGAATGAGCGCCACAGAGCAGGGCTAAGGGACACAGGCAGGACAGGGGACACCCAGAGGCCCGTGGTCTCCAGGGGGTCCAGCAGGAAAGTTCATTAAAAGCCATTAATTAAAAGGTGGAAGTTGGAGGCAAGGTGGCAGCTCCCCCAAGGTGCAGTCTGGCCCGGCTAATCTCTTTGAGGGCTCCCAGGTGCTCTGGGATTCAACACTTCACTTAACTAACCCAGGAGAGGTTTAGTTCCTGCCCTTGACTTGGCCACCCATTAACCCCCGATGGGCCACAGGCCTCTCTCCCGTCAGACACCAGCACAAGGGGAATTCCCCAGCGTGTGCTGCACCCCAGGGTGGGCAGGGTGACATGGGGCTTGCACCCTCTGTCCCAAGGCTTCCGATCCCTCGTGCGGAGCCAGGCAGGAACTTCCCATTGCGGTGGGCTGATGGGACACTGGAAGGGCTTTGGCAGCCAAAAAGGGTTAAATCTCCAGCACAGAGACAGACTAAATGGGGATTAATTAGCCAGAGCCCCCTGCTGCTGGGAGCAGCTGCCTGGCCTCCAGTGCACCACTAGGTGGCGGCGAAGCTGCAACTGAAGACAAGGTTCCCAGATGATCTCCAGTTCCAAAGGGAGACCTGGGGAGAAGGAAGGGAAGGAGGCTCACTTATGAGCAGCACAGAGATATTCATTGCAGGCTTGGTGCATCTTCCAGTACAGCATTTGGCATCCAAGGCAGGATCCCCCCGGGGTCCAATTTGGCAATGCAAGCAGCACAGGCTGCATCTGATTTGACCTATGCCGGCCTGAATCTGGGGAAACTCTGGATTGATGCTTCAGGGAGTAGCCGAGTTAGTCTGTACAGGTAAACTAAAAAACCAACAAATAGTCTGGTACCACTTAATAGACTAACAAAACATGTAGATGGTCTCATGAGCTTTCGTGGGCACAGCCCACATCTGCAGATGACAGGAGTGTTGGATGTCTAGGACCAAAATAAATAGGGGAGATGGATTTTCCTGGAAGTCATGGGATGCGCAGGCCTAAAGATGGGGGTTCCACAACCACCACCCACAAAAGATCCCGGAAAACTGGAAAAAGGCAAATGCAGTGCCCATCTTTAAAAAAGGGAAGAAGGACAATCCAGGGAACTACAGACCGGTCAGCCTTACCACAGTCCCCAGAAAAATCATGGAGGGGATCCTCAAGGAATCCATTTTGAAGCACTTGGAAGAGGGGAAAGTGAGATCAGGAATAGTCAGCATGGATTCAGGAAGGGCAAGTCGTGCCTGACCAATCTGATTAGCTTCTATGATGAGGTAACTGGCTCTGTGGACATGGGAAAGTCAGTGGATGTGATATACAATGATATGGTCTCCCACAATATTCTTGCCAGCAAGTTAAGGGAGTATGGATTGGAAAAATGGACTGTAAGTTGGAGAGAAAGCTGGCTAGACTGTCAGGCCTAACGGGTAAGTGATCAATGGCTCAATGTCAGGTTGGCACTCGGTTTCTAGCGGAGTTTTGTTCAACATCTTTATTAATGACCTGGATGAGGGGATGGATTGCACCCTCAGCAAGTTTGCAGATGACACTAAGCAAGGGGGAGAGGTAGATATGCTGGAGGGCAGAGATAGGGTCCAGAGTGACCTGGACAGATTAGAGGATTGGGCCAAAAGAAATCTGATGAGGTTCAACAAGGATAAGTGCAGAGTCCTACACTTGGGAGGGAAGAATTCAAAGCATTGTTACAGGCTGGGGACTGAATGGCTAAGTAGCAGTTCAGCAGAAAAGGACCTGGGGATTACAGTGGATGAAAAGCTGGATATGAGTGAACAGTGTGCCCTTGTAGCCAAGAAGGCTAATGGCATATTAGGGTGCATTAGGAGGAGCATTGTCAGCAGATCCAGAGATGTCATTATTCCCCTTTATTCGGCTCTGGTGAGGCCACATCTGGAATATTGTGTCCAGTTCTGAGCCCCCCACTATAGAAAGGATGTTGACACATTCGAAAGGGTCCAGTGGAGGGCAACCAAAATGATTAGGGGGCTGGAGCGCATGACCTGTGAGGTGAGACTGAGGGATTTGGGTTTATTTAGTCTGCAGAAGAGACGAGTGAGGGGGGATTTGATAGCAGCCTTCAACTTCCTGAAGGGAGGTTCCAAAGAGGATGGAGAGAGGCTGTTCACAGTAGTGACGGATGGGAGAACAAGGATCAATGGTCTCAAGTTGCAGGGGGAGAGGTGTAGGTTGGATATTAGGAAAAACTATTTCACTAGGAGGGTGGAGAAGCGTTGGGATGGGTTACCTAGGGAGGGGGTGGAATCTCCATCCCTAGAGGTGTTTAAGTCTCAGCTTGACAAAGTCCTGGCTGGGTTGATTTAGTTGGGATTGGTCCTGCCTTGGGCAGGGGGCTGGACTTGATGACCTCCTGAGGTCTCTTCCTGCTCTATGATTCTATGCCATCTACAAGTTTTGTTAGTCTATAAAGTGCTACCAGACTATTTGTTGTTTTTTCTGCATTGCTGGCGCGGTAGTTTCTGGGCCAGCTCCCACGACAGACTAGCACTCTGCCCGATGTGCAAACCCGTCTGTGGCACACGTCTCGTCATGCTGCGGATCAGCGCCCATGTGTCTCCCAGGATATAGAACGGTGTCATGCTTGGGGTTAGTGCCTCATTGATTGGCTATGCCCACCCACGTTTATACATGTTCCTATAACACAGAAGGTCTGTAATGCTCTGCAGCCACATGCACCTCATGGGGAAAGGATCCCTGGGGTGAAATCTTGCCCCCACTCATTAGCAAAACTTCCACTGGCATTGGTACGAGCAGTTCCCCCCTGCTCTTCAGCTCCTCCACAGACACAACGTCTATATTCTGTACAGCGCCTAGCACAAAGGGGCCACAGTCTTGATTGGTCTTCAGGCCCGGCAAAAACATATGGGATTAATTGTCTGTGGCATGACACTGGAGCTCCTGCACGGGGGTCCCTCACATCCCTCGTATAGTACTTAGGAACAAGGATGAGCGCCTTTTAAACAAGCACCCACATGGTGCAGGGCCATTCAGCAGACGGTGGTGGTGCAAATGGTGCAAATGTGTGTGTGTGCATGTACGCAGGCCCCTGTGGTGCACATGGGCATGCACACGCACACGTGCGCATGCCTGTGTGGTGCACGTTCCTTCTCTCAGTCCGTGGCTTCTGGTGAGTTAAGGTCACTTTGTGCTCCATGCCCTGTGACCCTGCCAGCTTTCCTCACCTGCTTTCCTGTCTTCCTGTGGCAGGTTTAGTGGAGGACTACCGGCCTCCGTTCTTCGACATGGTCCCAAGTGACCCCAGCTTCGAGGATATGAAGAAGGTGGTTTGCACTGACCAGCAAACGCCCAGGATCCCTAACTACTTGTACTCTGACTTGGTAAGTGTAGCCCACAGCACAGACCAATATTCTGTCTCATTTTTTTCCATCTTTGTGGAGAATAAATGTTGTTATGTGCATCAAGGAATGTGCAGATGGGCACCACGAGAAGAAAACACATTCTGATGACTGTGGAAGCTGGGCAGCATTCAAATCTCTCCTGGGGAACTTCCCAAGTGCTCATCTTACAGGGAACACTGGCACAGACTCCAGTGGAGTCACTCTTCTTTAACTAGTCACCAGTATAAACCCAGAAATAAGAACCTCAGAAAGGCCACACTGGGTCAGACCAACGGTTCATCTAGCCCAGTGTCCACTCTTCCCACCGTGGCCAATGCCAGGTGCTGCAGAGGGAATGAACAGAGAGAGCAATTATCAAGTGACACTAAGCTAGGGGGAGAGGTAGATATGCTTAAGGGCAGAGATAGGGTCCAGAATGACACAGACAAATTGGAGGATTGGGCCACAAGAAATCTGATGAGGTTCAACAAGGACAAGTGTAGAGTCCTGCACTTGGGACGGAAGAATCCCAAGTATTGTTACAGGCTGGGGACCAACCAGTTAAGTAGAAGTTCTGCAGAAAAGGACCTGGGGGTTACAGTGGATGAGAAGCTGGATATGAGTCAACAGTGTGCCCTTGTAGCCAAGAAGGCTAATGGCATATTAGGTTGCATTAGGAGGAGCATTACCAGCAGATCCAGAGATGTCATTATTCCCCTTTATTTGGCTTTGGTGAGGCCACATCTGGAGTATTGTGTCCAGTTCTGGGCTCCCCAGTACAAAAAGGATGTGGACACATTGGAGAGGGTCCAGCGGAGGGCAACCAAAATGATTAGGGGGCTGGAGCATATGACTTATGAGGAGAGGCTGAGGGACTTGGGTCTGTTTAGTCTGCAGAAGCGAAGAGTGAGGGGGGATTTGATAGCAGCCTTCAACTTCCTGAAGGGAGGTTCCAAAGAAGATGGAGAGAGGCTGTTCTCAGTAGTGACAGATGGCAGAACAAGGAGCAATGGTCTCAAGCTGTGGTGGGAGAGGTCCAGGTTGGATATTAGGAAAAACTATTTCACTAGGAGAGTGGTGAAGCACTGGAATGGGTTATCTAGGGAAGTAGTGGAGTCTCCATCCCTAGAGGGCTACGTGTCTCGGCTTGACAAAGC